CCTCTGCATGAAGCACTGTCCAGCCAAAATCCACTTTAAAGAGATTTAGAACGAAAAGGAGGGAATGCAGGTGACTTGACGCTTCACAGGGAGCAACAGACCATGCAGGCAGATAAGTCACCTAGGATCTTGCCGCACGAGCACCGTTCCCACCACAATCGCACGTCAATGAAAATGGAATTAAACCTGTTTGTATAATAGCCATTACCACACATTTTCTCAGTCGTGCAACTAGGGCTGCTGCTGGCATCACATTCTTTTCCTAACTCTACTCCTTGCCCTATGCCCGACCTAGCATGCCTTTCAGGTTTTTAAATTAAATTTTTTATTTATGTAAACTTTTTCATGCAATTCTAGAGCTCTGCTACTGTGACTGAAATGTTTTAAAAAGAAGAAGAAAATAGAATATAAATAAATAAAGGGAATCAAGCCTGCTTGGGAATAGCAAGGGGGAAAGGGGACAGGGGAGAGGAGGAAACTGTAGCACCATGTGCCTGCATGTATTGCAATTGCCTCAGTGTCAACATTTAGCACTTGAGCACTAGGGCGATTGGGAGGTCATTGATGGGTTTCCTCCCTCAATGAAAGGGATGCCTAACAGCAGAGGCAGTGTCACATTATTATTGCCAAAGCAGCTTTTTTTCTAGGTCTAATTGCAGTTTTTAAAACTGCCTGTAGTAATCTCCTCATTCAGCCTTCCTCACTACAGAAAGCTGCACTATTTCTATTTAAATGGTAGCAATTACTTCCCAATTGGTTCTGTACACACACACACACACACACACACAGAGAAGCATATGCCGATATTATGCAAATCTCAAGCCCCTTGTTTCCTTCTCTTTTGGCAATAACTGGCTACTTCAAAGACCTATTGATCACTCTTTCCTAACCAGGAACTTTGTGAAACAGGTTGCCAAGAAATATTGAGCATTTCTTTGGTGCTGTTATATTTCACATTACAACAATTTATTACAGGGGTAAGAAAAGCCACTTTTAGGATCATGTTATATTTTGGTAGCTGGGGTTACAAAACTGTGATGTAACTTATGTGGCACCCAGAGAAATTGGAGCTAGGGGTTTCTAGTCCCCTTAACTTCTGCTCTCTGCTGTGACACCACTGCTTTTCATCCTTTCCAAAGTTATGTTTAGCCTGTACCTTAGTACCTTTAATTTATACAGAAGCATGGGATCCATCTATTTTTTTCCTTCTCTCTTCCTGATACACTCCACTCCTATCCATTACAGGGTGGGTATCACACGCCATCCAGCAATTGTTGGACTGCCACTCCCAGCATTCCTCACCAAGGGCTATGCTGACTGTTGGGACTTTTAGTCCTTCTCGTTCTGTTTCTCAAGAAAAAAGGGAATTGTGCATATGGCCTACTGATGTGTCCTAACACAGGTCCAAAACACACTGCTGAAATAATCCAGTTTGAGGCTGCTTTAACTGCCCTGGCTCAGTACTAGGGAATTCAGGGAACTGTAGTTTTGTGAGACATTTAGCCTTCTCTGCCAGACAAAGCAAAGCAAAGCAGCTTCATTTATATACCGCTTCATATCACGC